ATGGGGGATTTTATGAGCTGGGCAGGTGTAGAAGCAAAGCACATCATTGCCACCCATTCCCTCAGCAAGAACTACCCAAATGGTGCCCCCGAGTGCAAGGAAGCTGGGAAACGAGTTGGCCGAGCTCTTTGCCTGTGACAACTCTGGGCTACAGAATGGGAAGCATAAATTGTGATGGACTCTATTTCTAAAACTGAAATTGTATGTTATAAATGAATGGTATCTTTTATTAAGATTTTATGTTTTTATTTGAGACAGAGAAAGCAGAAGCAGGGAGGAGAGTCAGAGGGAGAGGGAGAAGTAGGTTCCCCATTAAGCAGAGCCCGAGGTGGGACTTGATCCCAAGACCATGATCTGAGCTGAAGGCAGACACCAGCCAACTGAGCCACCCAGGCACCCTAAAAGAACGGTTTCTTAAGTATAGTCCTAAGCATTGCAGGATTAGAAACAGCATTTGTCCCCAAATCAAAACTTCAGTAAGTGCCATTAATAAAAATATTTCTGAATTACCATTGTTAAAGGAGAAAAATGGCTGTTACGCAAAAATCAGGTGTTCCTGTCTGTGGTTCCAGTTAGCCTACTAGATCTCTTGCTTTTAAAATGACTAGTTATCTAAATGCAATCTGATATATCCAAGACATTAAAAGTTATCCTCTGGTGATAGATACCTTGACATTGAGAGAATGTGTTCCCATTTTACATAATTCAGAAATATTCAAGGTACTTTGTTATGGCGGAGATAATTGTTAACAAATTATGCATTAATCTGCATAATATTTTAAAGCCAATGCAAATTGTAATATATTAATTTGGAATTGCATTTGACTGCAAGTTGCCAAAAACTAACCAAACGGGCTTCTACAAATCAGAGATTTCTTTCCCTAAGAAAACAAATTCAAAATCAGACAGTTGCTGGGGTTGGTTCTACAGTTCAAGAATGTCAACAGATACATGATTACCCTGGCCTTGCCTTCACTGCCTGAAAATGGCTGCTTCAGCTCTGGCTATTACATCCACATTCCAGGAAGGAAATAGGATTGACAAGGAGAAAGGACCAATCAGTGCCTGGGGCAAGATAGCAAAATTTTCCGGAAATCACAAGCAGACTTCCCCACTTGTGTCTTAATAACAAGAACTGTGTCACATAACCATCTATAACTTCAAGAAAGCTATTTTTAGCCAGTCGTTGCTGTCCTGAACAAAATCTTGGTTCTGTTAATAAGGGCAAAAGGAACAGTAGATATAGGGTAGCAGCAAGCAGCATGTGCCTTTCCACTTCTGCCGGTTTCCACCACTCCTTAGTAGCTAACACTGTTCAGTTAAGATGCTCCTAACCCCAGAAGTATCTGAATTTATAACTTGAAAATTCACAGACAGGAAGTATTTGAAAGTAGTCTTCAGCTTCACGAAGACTACGTATTTTTATCCATTCACCTCTATATTCTAGAGGTCATGCTAAGCAAACTCTCCGAATACTTACTGAGAAACTATGTTGCCAAGTGTTTGGCTTAGCTCTATCCAGCAGAATGAGTAATTATTCAGGTGGGGCCCCTCCAGGTGGACAAAGTACACACAGAGGTGTGTACTTTGTGGTCAGAAGGTTGCTTAGTAGCTAAAATATGATTCACTGAGGCACCTGGGTGACTCAGTCAAGTGTCTGCCTTTGGTCATGATCATGATCATGCCTCAGGTCATGATCTCGGGGTCCTGGGATTGAACCCCATGTTGGTCTCCCTGCTCAGCGGGGAGCCAACTTCTGCCCCTCTCCACCTTGTGCTTGCACGCACTCTCTCTCCTTCAAATTAATAAAATCTTTTTTTAAAAAATCGATTTATTAAACCGGCTGTGGGGATTAGGCTGAACTCCACTTTGTACTCTAGGATGTATTATAGATGTGGGAGGAAGGGAACTGTTCACACTTAGGGCACACTTCCCACACATCATACCAAGTGTTTTCTACTCTCGGGGTGTTTAGGATCCAATGTTATAACCCTTTTTTTAAGAGAGGAAACTAAAGTTCAGAGGGACAGTCACTTGCCCCATGTTGCCCAAATAACAGAGTTGGAATTCAATTCGAAGTCAGCCTAACTTCAACCCCCAACTCCCAAAGTGTCCTAGCTCTGTAAGTGGAATACAGTGAGTAGCCCTGGCAAAGCCCATGTTCTTCCCTCTGGAGGGAAGTTGAGGCTCTCAACTGTCCAGCAGCTCTTTTTCAGACGTAGAGCTGAATGCATTCCTTTTTTTTTTTTAATTAAAGATTTTATTTATTTATTTGACAGAGATCACAAGTAGGCAGAGAGGCAGGCAGAGAGTGGCAGGGGGCACAGCCCCCCCACGGAGCAGAGAGCCCCATGCAGGCCAATCCCAGGACCCTGGGACCACAACCTGAGCTGAAGGCAGAGGCCCAACCCACCAAGCAACCCAGGGCCCCTGCATTCTTAATATTATTTCTCTGGCCCCACTTCTGAGTTTCATTTAGGTTCTGGCTTTTATGAACCCATGATTATTTTGTTATTGCTTGAAGATTTTTTTTTTTTTTAATTTATTTGAGAGCGAGAGAGAGAGCACAGGGGGGTTGGGGGAGCTGCGGGGCAGAAGGAGAATCAGACTCCCTGCTAAATGGGGAGCCCGACAGGGGGCTTGATCTCAAGACCCCAGGTCATGACCTGAGCTGAAGGTGGATGCTTAACTGACTAAGTCACCCAGGCGCCCCCACGAACCCATGATTATTTAGATCAGTTAAAATACAATTTATTCAGCTAGAGCTTTTTTTATTTTTCCAGCTACATTCTCCATAAGAAAGATAATGTGTAGCCTCCAGGACAACTTGACTGTGTCCAGTTCTCAGCACCACATTTACAAACCACTTCTGGAAATGACAGTTTTCTGACAGGACGACTTTCAAACTCCTTACCTTGATTTGTGTTGTGACTATCTTAAAGTGTGGCTTTTGGTGGTCTTGTTCCCAGACTGTGGTAAATAATGACCATGTACTTAATATCTTCAGAATGGAGCATTGGATTTCACCACTTTGTGTTAGGTGCCTGTTAAAAGAAACAATCTAGAAATCCATTTTTTGTGGATTCTTTAAAGTTCATGTTAATGCTCATTTTAGAACTGGGGGTTTGTGTTAGCGCCCAGCTCCACCGACTCCTTATTGCAGGGATCTAGTATATGTGCTGCCAAAGCGAGCACTTATTGCAGGGATCTATTCCCACTGACTATGACCCTGCCAGCAGGAACCTTCCTGCGTGTTATGGCTGCATGTCTGATGGGCCTGGACACAGCACGGACTAGTTTCTTGACACATAAACATTCATCAGGTAGATAAATGGAATCCTCAAGTAAGAAAGCAGCAGTTGAGAACCAACAAACATGTCACAGTCTACATAGTTCTTTTCCATAGAAATATACTTGTGATCTAATGGGGCTCTTTCTGTACTACCACAATGGCATTCTTAATTGTTGTGAATATGCCACAGTAATCATTACCATCATATTAACCCACAGGTTCTTGGGAATACTTACAAATTAAAATTATAAAGCACTAAATCTCAGACAATATACTTTCTTACACATTTCAAAACTTACAAATAAAAATAGAGAAAAATGGAACTAAGTAGAGTCCACATTATATAGGAAGTTGTATGAGAAAGGCAGCACTTCAAATCAGGAAAGATGAATGATTCAATATATGATGTTGGATCAATTAATTAACCATAAAAAAATTAGATTCTTAACACACCACACAAAAATGTAGATGCAAAATGGAATAACCATTTACATATTTAGTTCATAAAAGTCATAGGAAAATATATGGGAAATATTTCTAATAATGTAAGAAGGGAGGGGGATGGGTTTTGCCTATGACAGACAGTACACACAGCAGAGGGTAAATTTGTTGTGCAAACCCCCAAACAGAACTTCCTGCAAATACATTCTCAAAAAGAAATACTTTCACAATTCATAACCCACACAAAAACATAAAACATTCTAACATTTGACAGACACCAAGGTCAAAAAGCATTTTTAAAAAGACTAATAAAGCTGAATATGTAAAAAATACAAAGCTTCTATATGACAAAAGACATAGGAAAACAAAAAAGATTGAAAGTAGGTAAAATGTTGACAAAACAGGACAAAGGGTCATTATTTGTCATGTGTTACAATGTATCAATCGAAAAGGAAAGCAAATGGAAAGGCAAGCAAAGGACATGAATAGGCAAGTGATCATGAAAAATACTCTACTTCAGTCATAATTTTTAAAATGCAATCTTAAATGAGATATTTTCACAAATTAGAATTGATCATTCTTCAGACTGGTGCAGCTGTGGGAAGCCAGCCCCATTCGGTCTCTGCTGTACATCATTGGACAGCGGCCTGCCCAACATTTTAATGTGAGGTTGGCCTGACATTTCAAGTTGTAGGAAGTGATCCTCTAAAAATACTTGCACAACAATTCAGGTATTTGCAGCAGCATTATAATACCAATAAGTTCAAAGATATTTAAATGTCCACAAATAAGGAATGGTTTAATAAATTACAGTCCTTCTATGCAATGGAATACTTCTGTGAAGCCACTGTTCTAAAGAATGAGGTAGATCAACAAAAACTGACATGACAAGATTCTCCATACTATGTCATTAAATGACTTATGAAACAGTATATATAGAATGATCTCAATGTTTCTTAAAATGATATAACAAACAAAAATTAGAAGGCTATACATGTGCTTATCATTAGAGAGTGAAAATATGGGGCATTCACATTTTAACCTCAAGTGGTCTACACCATATTATATCTATAATCCCAAAAGATTTCCAAGCCCTTAAAAAATAACAACCATTTCAGACATGACCACATTTTTTTATGAGAGCTGTATGCAGTGGGAGGTGACATCTAATCCAGAATGATTTTGCATAACAACAGGAGTTAATCTTCACTGCACGGGAAGACAAGAACACACACAGCAGCCAGTAAACATATTGAGCAACGCCCCCCCCCCCCCCAAAAAAACTCCCTGAAGTAAGTGAAATACATTTTCAAAAATGGATCCAATGACAATTCACAAACCACATGAAAATATAAATATTCAAATATTCCCACAGGCCCTGCCAATGAGATCCACGCATCAGCTCTGCACTGTCTTTACTGGCCGCTGAGGAAGACGGAGACCGGGCAGGCCAGCAACCCTTACTAGGTACAAGAGGTGATGGGGCCGGATGGCTCAAGAGCTGTGTGGAGATCCATCGGCACTGAAGGTCCAGGAGTGAAGGCAACTTCTTCATTCACCTCCAAGAAAGCACTGCTCTCTTTGAGAGAAGCAGATTTCTTTTTATGGCAGCCTTCTGCACAACCTGTGTCCTTTTTTCTGTGTTCCTTCTTCAGTCTCCTCTTGTACATCTTGTATGCTGGGTGTTAAAACATGCAAGTGTTGAAAAATCACTTCAGCAAAGACTAATATAGTGATACCATGTATTTTGGGGCCATGTTTGCTTTGGGTCACATAGGTGTAAACACACAGAAATGAAGGGGGAAAAGAGATGGAAAATGGGGTTCTAGTTCCAAAAGGCAACATAAGCAGGACGCCTGAGTGGCTCAGTTGGTTAAACATGTGTCTTTGGCTCAGGTCATGATCCCTGGCACCTAGGATTGAGTCCCGAATCAGGGTCTCCGCTCAGAGGAGAGGCTGCTTTTCCCTCTGCTTCTGCCTCTCTCCCCTGCTCATGCTTGCACGCTCTCTCTGTCTCTCTCTCCAATAAATAAAATCTTTAAAAAAAAAAAAAGAAGAAGAAGAAGAAGACAACATAGGCAGATCCTAAACTCATCTCCTCCCATAGACACACTGTTTCTCTGGGGGAAAAAACCCTAAAAACAGTCAGAACAACCCCATAACATCAGACAGAAGGGAGGGAAACCACATGAAAGTGGGTAGGAAAGACTGAGATGAAATCTCACCATAAGCCTCACCCAGACAGGGCCACCCACAATCAGGAGGGAACTCAAAACATGGACCTTCTCCCTCAGAAGCCAAGGACTCATACCCCAGATTAGGCACTCCAACTTTTAATATAGGTATCTGAGAAACAAGCCCCCAAAACATCTGGCTTTTAAGACCAACGGGTCTGGAGCACATGAGAACCACAGATCTGTGGTGAATGGAGGAACTGCAAACCAACTGTCCTGCCCCAGGGCCCAGCACAGGAGCAGCCCCTTGAAAAATGCCCAGAACTTTATGTAGAAGAGACTCATTTCTTCATTTTACAACATCAGACTGAGGCACAGAAAAAGAAACCGACATCTAGGTCCAGGAAGAGAGTTCCATAATAAGACAAACTCAAAGAGAGCCATACCAAGACACATTATAATTAAAATGTTAGAAGTTAAAGACAAGAGAGAATCATAAAAGCAGCAAGAGAAAAACAACTTGTTGCATACAGGGGGAACCCCATAAGGCTATCCACAGATTTTTCAGCAGAAACTTCGCAGGCTAGAAGGAATGTCATGATACATTCAAAGTGCTGAAAGGAAAAAACTTCCAACGAGGAACACTCTACCCAGCAGAATTATCATTCAGAAGCGGAGGTGAAATAAAGAGTTTTCCAGACAAGCAAAATCTAAAGGGGTTCATCAACACTTACAAGAAATATTAAAGGGATGTCCTTAAGCTGAAAAGAAAGGGTATTAAGTAGTAACAAGAAAACATATGAAAGTATAAATCTCACTGGTAAAGATAAACATACAGAAAAGTAGTGAATTAATCACTTATAGAGCTAGTATGAAGGTTAAAAGACAAAAGTTGTAAAACTAATCAAAGTAATTAGTTAAGAAATACACAAAATAAAAAGATGTAAAATATGACCTCAAAAAAAAACCAAAAAAAACAAAACATGGAGGGGGAATAAAAATGTAGGGCTTTAGAATGTGTTCAAACTTAGGTTGTTACCAACTTAAAATAGACTGTTATAAATACAAGTTGTTACATATAAGCCTCATGGGTAACCACCAAGCAGAAATCTACAGTAGATACACAAAAAAGGAGAAAGGGGTCTAAACAGACCGCTAAAGAAAGTCATCAAACCACAGAGGAGAAGAAAGGAACAGAAGAAGAAAGGACCTAGAAAGAGCCAGAAAACAATGTCAATGTCAGTAACTCCATGCCCAGTTACTTTAAATGTAAATGGACTAAAGTCTCCGAACAAAAGATTAAAGAGTGGTTGAATAGATTAAAAAACAAGACCCATTTCTATGCTGCCCACAGGAGACTCACTTAAGATTTAAGGACACTGAAAAAGTGAAGCGATGGAGAAAGATGTTTCATGCAAGTAGAAACCAAAAGAAAGCTGGGGTAGCTATACTCACATCGAACAAAATACACTTTAAAACAAAACCTGTAGGGGTGTCTGGGTGGCTCAGTGGGTTAAACCTCTGCTTTTGCTCAGGTCATGATCTCAGGGTCCTGGGATAGAGCCCCACGTGGGGCTCTCTGCTCGGCAGGGAGCCTGCTTCCCTTCCTCTCTCTCTCTGCCTGCCTCTCTGCCTACTTGTGATCTCTCTCTGTCAAATAAATCAATAAAATCTTAAAAAAAAAAAAAAAAACCTGGAAAGAGAGACAAGGGCATTCCCTAATGGCAAAGGGGTCAATCCAACAAGAGGGTATAACATTTATATATATGCACACAACATAGGAACACCTAAATATATAAAGCAAATATTACAGACCTAAAGGGAGAAATTAGCAGCAACACAATAATAATATGGGTCTTTGATACCCCACTTACATCAATGAATAGAATATCCAGACAGAAAATCAATAAAGAAACATTGGCCTTGAATGACACATTAGACCGCATGGGCTTAACAGATATATAAAGAACATTCCATCCAAAAACAACAGAATATATATTCTTCTCAAGAGCTCATGGAACAGTCTCCAGGGTAGAGCATATGTTAGGCCACAAAACAAGCTTAACAAGTTTGAAAAGATTAAAATCATAGCTAGCATCTTTTCTGACCACAATGGTACGAAACTAGAAATCAACTGCAAGAAGAAAACTGAAAATTCGCAAATATGTGGAGACTAAACAACATGCTATTGAAAAACCAATGGGTCAACAAAGAAATGAGAAGTGAAATAAAACACCTGAGACAAAGAAAAATGGAAATACAACATACCAAAACCAAGCTCATAGAGATAGAGAATAAATAGGTGGTTGCCCAGGGCTGGGGGGTGGGGGGTATCAGTGAAGGGAGTCAAAAGGTACAAACTTCCAGTTATCAAATATGTGAGTCATGGGGATGCAATGTACAGCATGGTGTCTGTAGTTGATAATACTGTATTATACAGTTGAAAGTTGCCAAGAGAGTAAGTTTTTAAAAGTTCTCATCACAATGAAAAAAAACCTCTACACATGGGGCAGAAGTTAACTGGACTTACTGAGGTGATCGTAATATTCACAAATATGAATCATTTGTTATATACCTGAAACTAATACAATGTATGTCAAGTATACCTCAATAAAAAAAGGAGGGGGGTACTATGGAGCAAAAGAACTCAGTGTATCAAAATGGCTATCTCTATCTGGAACGGACCATTTGTGAATGAGGTCACTGACAGCTCACGCATACATTCTTTCAGGCCACTGGTGGCTCATCTATTCATCTATTCATTCGTTCAGTCAGTCAGTCAGTCAACCAGCAACACCTGTGGAGTGCTTGCTTGCTATGAGTCAGGTGCTCCCCTGAGTGCTGGGAGATAGCTGGGAACAAGCCTGACATGTTCCTTCCTTCACAATCGCACTAAAGAGAAGAAATTAAAACTTAGATCTAAGACCAGTGAGTTTTACTCTGTGAAGATTTCTCTTTTATTTTGTGGCAAATTTAAACCCCAAGTATTCCTTATGTTGACTGTTACATCAGCAATCAGTGTATAACCAGTCATATCAGTATCAATGAGTATAACTCAGACCCTGTCTCCTGATAACAGTGAAAATTACAATGGTCCAAGAGGAAAATATATGTGTGTATACGTACTGACGTCTTTTTTTAAAAAGACTTATTTATTTACTTGGGAGGGCGTATGAGCAGAGGGAATCTTCACGCAGACTCCCTGCTGAGAGCAGTGCCTGACATGGGACTCAATCTCCCAACCCTGAGACCATGACCTGAGCCGAAACCAAGAGTCAAGATGCTTAACCGACTGAGCCACCCAGGTACCCTCATTGATATCTTTTAAAATTTACTTTCTGTGAACCCACCTAAGGACTGACTCTAAAATGACGTATATTTGGCTTTATGGATTTTTATATATCCCATATATGGGATACCTGTGTATACAAGTGTGGTAATTCAATATCTGTGTATGTTTCATATTTCATTGTTGAAAAATATTTCAGAACCATCCAGCACAATTCTTAGTCACAGAAGCATTGTGAAATAATTGGCATTTGGAAGACTTCATGGCTCTTGATGAAACATAACAAATGTCATTTTGAAGATAAATTATTGCTCCTGGAAACTTATCAAGTCCTAGAATCCAAGTTCTAATAGTACACTGTTTTTTGTGAAGCATGTTTGTTTGTAAGTTTACTTTCACATATTTTAATATTTTTGCTACGAAAGCAAAGGAATGTGTGTGTGCACTTTGTTTTCCCAAAAAAATGGCAGGCTAACAACGTACCACAAGAGTAGCACATGCATGTTCAGACTGAAAAAGAAGTTAGTAAACGGGACTGATGATTTTCAACCAAATCTACCTAATGGGGGCTCTCCTCACCTGCAACAATGAGAAATCCATCCAACAGCTGGAAAAGTCCATAGGCCAACGGGAAACTAAGCATCTGGACCAACTGCTTGGTGGTGAAAGACAGCTGGAGCATGGTGACGCACATCTGAATATTCTGAGCTCCAGTTTCTAAGGAAATTGTCCTGCACCTACCAAGGAAAGCATTTTTCAAAAGTTACTAGCAATAAGGACTCTTCTTAAATTTTTCTCTTCTATATAGCAATAAATGTAAGCTATGAGGTTAGGCCACTAAAAATGTTTACTCATTTAATAATTATTTGCTGAGTGTGTCTGCTCTGCAGGTGGCCTTCCTGAGAGGCACTTCGGAAAAGGACCCTAGGAACCTGCCTGAGGAATCTGGGTGGAAAGATATGATTGACACACAGGAAAGGTCCAGTAACAACACAAGACAAAATATGATCGTGGGTCAGGGAGATGCTATAAAAATTCAGAAAAGTGGCATAAATGGTTAGAGAAGGCTTTAAAAAGGCAAAGGCAGATGAAACGGTGATGGTGGGAGAGCCATTGAACGTGGGACGGTGGCTACAATTAACATTCTAGGGACAGGTATGAGCTGTGCCTACTAGGAGGCAGTACATGTGCCGTGAGCCAGGCTGTGTGGAGTGAGGATTGGAGAGGAGAATGGAAAGGTGAATTAGAGATATGAAACAGTAGGAACGAAATAAAACTTGAAGGTAAACATTAAAACCCTAAATGAAAGCCAATGTCTAAAACCACCTGTCTAAAATTCTTTGGTGAAAGAGTTTAGGAACACAATTTTCCTTCTTTCTACTTTTCTGTAGTTTTCTCATTGCAAAAAGAGAGAGAGAGAAAGAGAGAGAGAGAGAGAGAGATAAGCCTCACTTGAAAAAGAAAAATCAGGGGCGCCTGGGTGGCTCAGTGGGTTAAGCCACTGCCTTCGGCTCAGGTCATGATCCCAGGTCCTGGGTTCAAGCCCCACATCGGGCTTTCTGCTCAGCAGGGAGCCTGCTTCCTCCTCTCTCTCTGCCTGCCTCTCTGCCTACTTGTGATTTCTCTCTGTCAAATAAATAAATAAAATCTTTAAAAAAAAAAAAAAAGAAAAATCAGGAGGGAGTAAAAGGAAGACATTAGCAGGACATCATGGGTTGGGTTAAGCAGTTTCATCTGTCTTCAGTTTATAAAGGGGGTCTTTGGGTTTCTATAGATGGAAGTGAAGAGAGGAAAGAGGTGTTTCAGAATATAAACCAGCATCTCTCTACAAGCTGGTTTGGAATATGGAGGTAACCAGGGGAGGTATAATGTGGGCATGAAAATACTGGTACAGGGCAAGTTCTGCAGCTCTTTTTTTATTTGTGCTTACTCTCTGGCTTGCTTTGCTTTGCTTTCTTTAGACCACTCTCCTTTCAGACCCTACCAATTACTTGAGATGATTAAGCTTCACAGCTGGACCTCAAACCTGGGCCATTCACAAGGCAAATGCAGTATATCCATCTGATCCTTCTCTAGCCATCAGGTATGAAAAAAAACAAGATTGTTAACTACATTTGGCCATAGGAATACTTCCTCTCCAGATTCAGTTATATTTCAACCACTCAGCAGTCTGTGTTCCTGATTATCGGCTTTGCAAAAAACTCTAGTTCAATTCCTAACTCCGCCACATTCTGGCTCTATGAACTTGGTTACGTTACTTAATGTCTTGAAGGATTCGCTCATCTGTAGAATGAGAGTACTAATAATAACTACTTCTCAGGCTTGTAGTAAAAAGTAAATGAGATACCACAGACAGAGTCTTACCCTGTACCTGGGATAATCCTATATGTTCCCCAAGTAGACTAAAAAGAGATTTCTACTACAAAATAAAAATCAAAATGCATACCACTTTCTGTTCTCTTTTACTTAAATCTATCTTTGAAGCTTTTTCATCTCCCAAACTCCACCTCTGAAGTTCAACCACCTAGTTCACTTTTCTTCAGTATTCTTTTTTGACTTCAGAAGTGGTACATACTTATTGGAAACCTCGGGAAATATACCCCAAAAATTAATAAACTAAAATTACTCTTAATCCTACTACTCAAAATTAAACAGTATTAGCATATGGTGTATTTCTTCCAATATTTTTCCATGCATAAAATTCTTTTGCTTTCTTCCACAAAATGGGAATCAAAATGTATCCCATTTTCTATTCTCTTTTAAATTTATCTTTTAAGTATTTTCCAAAAGCATTAAAATTGATGCGTCATATTCCATCACATAGACACACCATGAATTAAGTATCTCCCTATTGTTAGGTATTTAATTGTTTCTATTTTTAGATTTATAAATAACACTGCAATTAACATCCTTGCACATCAATATTCGCATGCTTATCTGAGAGTCCTAGCTTCAGGACAGATTTCTAGAAGTAAAATCACTGAGTGAACAGCTATAAATATGTATAAGGCTATTGATATAACTAAATTGCCTTCCGGTGAGTTTTTGACAATTTATGTTCCCTCCAACATTGTATGTTAATACTCATCTATAGATATAACAACATGGAGTATTACCATTTTTAATATTTCAAAAATTTATAAATTATATGCCCCAACTTGTAATGATAATATGTCAGATAAATTCCTTTCTTATGTCTCCAGTTTGTCCTTTCTCCCCTTGTCCCTTAGAACTAGCACTTTTATAGAATTTGGCATAAGTGTGGATAAATATTTCATCTCTTGAATTTTGCTTATACTCTAGAATGATCTCTATATTTAATGAGACCATCTCACCCCTATCTAATTACCAGAATAAGAAGAGAAATGTGTCCAGATTCCAACACATGGTGTTAACACCCCAATCCTAATCTCACAGATTACAACTTCCCATCAATCTGGCCTTTACTCTCATTTACGTAAGAACTACCATGATCTTTTCACCCTCTCTGCGTTGAGTTACCCTGTTCCGTCCACCTTGTAAGTCAAGACTCCTGACACAGCCAGGCAGCAAAGCCTGCCAGTGGCTGACTGTTTACTTTATCCTCCTCCAAAAAAGTGTAGGGATCATTGAACTGTACCTCTGCCAAGACTGGTGGGTAAGAAGTGCCAGCAGAAAGCCCGTGACATGGCCAATCAAAGGAAAGATGAAACTGATGGTCAGAAGAGTGATGTCTGAATTCCAAGATCCTTTTGCCAACACCACACCAGCAACTGCGACCACCAAAAGGAGGACCCCACCAACAATGGCCCCAATCTAAAGCAAACCAATAAAATACATGTAAACATTATGGTCTTTTAGTTCTATTTTGAAAAGTCCATCACTGTTCTAAGAAGCCAGGAACCTAGGTGTTTTGGAACAAAGAGGGGACTTACCACCAAATCCAATCTCATTTTAGGGAAAAGAAACTTAAGCTCCAAACTGGTCAACTGACTTGGCTAAGCTGGAAACTGGTGAGGCTTGACACAATCTAAGCCTTATTTTATGTATTGTTTGCCTTGAAGTAGAGGATTTTGCCAGAAGGAACGGGTAGTGAAGATTTTCATGGATAGGACAAATTCATGAGACAAGTGAAATCTGGCAATAAGTCTCCAATACCCCACTAAAGGCACTTCTCAGATCCTTCACTGGTAACCTCTTATCTGAAGTCTGCACTGCCTCGCCATCTGCCACTCTCTTCCTACCACCCCCTCGACTGCCAGTGGCTCCTTACTTGATCCCTGCCCTTCTCTCCTCCAAGTGAAATGCACCCATTCTTTATTAGACAATCTGGGCTGACATTAATGTAACATAAATACTAAGAGATACCTCTTTCCTCTCCCAAATGAATACTGTTCTTCCTTGTATTGTTCAGCAAAAACAAGAAACCAACAAAAAGGAATTTCCAATAGTTTGAGTTTTAGATCAGAGAGAAAGGAAGCCAGACCCAGAATATTTGGAGGAAATTAGGACTTTGACAAGCTCCCATTCATACCATGTAGACAACAAAGTATATAGACAACTTAGTACGGCATCAACTGGGATTTGAAATGTTTTGAGGTATAGAAGAAGGTGGTCACGGGGAGCAGAACAAAGCCAAAACAAACCAATGCACCGTAGACCTGCTCCAAGATTATTTTTACTGCTCAACACAAAGACAGACTGGGCCTCTGCTTAATGAGAAGATGCTAGAACACACTAAGAAGTCCTCTGATTGTCAGAATCCCTCTTTGTCTTTCTATCACAAAAGGATTTTAAAGGTTAAAAATTTACCAAGAGCAATGTGTTCAGAAAATATGTCATATCTAAAATTAACAAAGGACCAAGAGCAGATAATGAAACTTTGATTAACTTATCCTAATTTTCTACTAAGGTGCTCCAGAATATTTATGCATATTATTAAATTTTTTTGCCACGCCTCCTATGAAATAGGCAAAAGAAAGGGGTTTTAAATCTGCTCTTTACATACAATAAATGTCACCTACAGAAAATTTACGTGATTTCTCCATTGACACTAAGGGACTAACAGAGGATCTGGAAACACCAAAATTAACAAAACAGAGTACGTGATAGTACTTTATCAGAAATAGAGTATTTGAAAAGTAAGAGGTTCCTGATCACACTCGGTGCTCTTGTTTTGCAAACAAAATTACAGCATACACAAACGCGCTGGCCATTCTCTCCCACTGAAATAACAGTCTCCCACTCAAATGCAATCCAAATGTGCAACACTGAAGCCTTCCTCCAGCTCTCTGTGTGCTTGTCAACCCCTCTTCCCCACTTCATCTCACTGGAGGAATCGTGGGAGTTGTTTCGTCTTGTGCCAAAAGGAGAAAGCAGCAGCCTCTGGCGTGGGTGCGTGGAGAGGCATGTGGGGCTACACGGCAAGAACAATATCCTAAATCCCGAACTCAAATGAACTTAGATGTATTTGTTGAACCTCCAATTAGCCCCAAATGTCTGTTTCTCTGGAAATGTAACATGTAAGTAGGGCATCGTAAAAATCTTCATAAAGCAGCGCATGACGCAATCTTACATCTTCCAAAATGATTCATACTTGGAAAAATCGAAAACATCCTAGGTTGTTGACACGTTTGTTGAGAACGCCTCAACATTTTGTAAAGCTATTCTTATATTTTTAAAAGTCATTTTTAGGTATTTTTAAAAGTTATTTTGGAGATCTTTTTCACACAAGGACATGTGCCTGTTCCTCCAGCAGACAGAGGACAATGCTGGGAAGTCAAGAAGAGGTAGGAGGTTCTAGCTGCCATCACTCCATGGCCAGACTCCTCAGTGCATTCTGCACAATTTCACTTTGACAGTTGTTCACGTGGTCAGCAGCCCCGGTTTGTGTGCACAAACTACAACCCCGGAAGCTTCTTCGGAAATGCTTCTGAAACCACCCCCCCACTTTTTCATGGGCCTACCTTCACCCTGGGCCTCCAGCCCTGCACACCGGACCAGCATTGACCTCAAGAGCACTTGTGTGGAGCCTGGTAAAGACATGGGCTCTAGGTTCTCCCTGGCCACACACACGCCGTAGCTTTATAGTCACTAAAGCAGGAGTCCCACACTCGCCAGTGTGTCCTAAGCCTCAGTGTGTGGGCCGAAGGGAATGACAGAGCATGGCTGACAAGAGCGGAAGAAATAGGGAGGCTAGATCCAAAAACACGTAAGGAAAATTGCTGGGGGTGGGGCTGTATCCGACTGGCCCGTCTGTTCCAGTCACTGTCTCCATCCGTCTTTCCAGTCTCTGCGTGTAAGGATTCATTTACCACCATCAGGAGCTGCTTACCTTGAGAATGATTTTGGATTGCTTAGGCCACCTGTAATTCACATAGATTCCGAAGGCCACGGGGATGGTCAGGCACACAAGGGTGATTCCTGGGGAGAAGAAAAATCCATCAGACAATATCTCCCTCCCCTGGAGTGCCCAGTCCTCAACCATGTCTATTTCCATTAGATAAAGGCTTTAATTAAGGTGCATTTTATTTCTGGATCCGCCTCCAAATGTAAAGAAAGGAAAAAAACCTCTGGAAGACAATGTTTGAAGGGTATACATTATGACTGAATGCCACTGTTCATGTCCCATCATTTCCCTCTCAAAATCCCTCTGATGATGACGTGGAATTTTAGAGACGACCAGAAATGTAAAAATTAGAAAACAGGAGGAGTCGGCAAACTTCTTTGATTGCTACACAAGGGGTCAACCCTCTGTGACCACAGCTCCTATTTCCCCATTTAAAGCCAACAGGTCAATTGTTTCACAAAGTAAAGAATACCTATTGCAGATATAAAAACAGCATCTGTTCCACATACCAAAACAATTTCTCATATTCCGCAAGTGTAGCCAAGTAACCCAAAGGTGGGTGGGCAAAAAATACCCTCTAATTAGCGCAAGTGAATAAAAGCATTGAAGGCAGGCTCCGCAGAGCAGGGATCCACTTGCTTCCAAATCTGGCCAAATGCCTGCAAAACTGGCTGCAAAGTTACATGAGTTGCTCCTAATATGTTGGGTTTTGTTCACAAGTGCCTTTTAGAGTACATTATCTAAACGGAATATGTAAACAACTTACTAATTAGAAAAAGTTGTGCATAAAATTATGATTTCCAATATTTCACTCAAATTTTACAAATTCAGTGGGCTCCAGTGGTTAGGGGAACATGGCTCTATTTGTGTTTTTGAACTGTGGGCCCTGGGCTGTAAAGCTCTCCAAGTGATTACTTGAGACTCCAGACAAGACAGTTTTAAGAATCACAGTTTCAGCCAATTCTCCAAAGACTCTGAGCAAAGGAGAATAACCAGATCATTTCACCAAGGTTTTCTTCCCAGCCTAGTAAGTCGACTGAGATCTCTAGAAAAAGGGGAGAGTTTGGGGCACCGGGGTGGCTCAGTCTTTAAGCATCTGTTTTTGGCTCAGGTCGTGATCCCAGGGTCCTGAGATCGAGGCCGGTGTCGGGTGTCCCACTCTGCTGGAAGCCTGCTTCTCCCTCTCCCACTCCCCCTGCTTGTGTTCCCTCTCACTCTCTGTCAAATAAATAAATAAAGTCTTTTTTTTTTTGGACAGAGAGAAAGAGAGCTCAAGTAGGCAGAGAGGCAGGCAGAGAGAGAAGGGGGATCAGGCTCCCTGCTGAGCAGAGAGCCCCATGTGGGGCTCGATCCCAGGACCCTGAGATCATGACCTGAGCCGAAGGCAGAGGCTTTAACCCACTGAGCCACCCAGGTGCCCCTAAAATCTTTTTAAAATGGGGGACAGAGTTTAATGAAAAATGACGGTCTTGAAAGGAGCTATGGAAGAAATATGGGTATGGTTGTGGCATGAAGATACGCTCTAATGATAGAAAGGAATCATTCATGTTGGATCATTAAAAATGTCAAGGTTCACAGGCCATGGGAAAAGTGGAGTTTGGGGAAGTAAGGTCTCATTAGACCCACTGTGATCCAGTTAACCTTTGGATCTTAACAAGACCAATGGCTTTGCAGTACACTATATAAGCATGTTTTTAATAAGTAACTTCTCTTTCTTTATTTTCAGATGGGAACTCTTGTAAGGTTAAAAGCTTGGATTTTGTCATCAGATCCCTGAGTCAGCATTCAATTCTTCACTCATCAGCAGCACAAACTTGGTAAAGTAACTTAACAGATTCTATGATCCTAAAAACCTAGGAATTGGAACCAGTCATAGAATCTATATAGAAGTGTTGGAGAACGTGTTCATTTAGAAACCCAGAGAGAGGACACGCATAACAAACGCCAGCTCTTATCATTCCCCTCACCATTACTATTACTATTCCATTCCATCAGCCCCATACAGACCTATGTTCTGATACGGGATGGTAAGATTCTGCTCAAGATTCCAGGACAAGGTGTAGACATACAGGCAGAGCGGCATCATTCCCAGAGCGGCCACTGTGGAACAGGTTGTCATGGTGATGCTGAAAGTGAAATTAAAATGATGCTTAAGAGGAGAAGTTTGAGGGTTGCCTGGCTTGCTCAGTCAGTGGAGCGTGTGACTCTTGATCTCAGGGTCGTGAGTTCAAGCCCCACACTGAGCATGGAGCCTACTTTAAAAAAAAAAAAAAGAGGAAGAGTTTGAAACGATGGATTTAAGTTTTGACCAAAAGCAACACCCAAGGGCCTTTGAGATTACGTGAGGCAAGTTACTTGAAGCTCACTCCTGTCTTGTGATTGAACAAATGACAGCTGTATTTGTGGTCTAGAAAGAGATTTCCAGCAGTATTTGATGCTCCTCCATCAACCCATATTTATTTGAGAACCTACTTGTCCTCAGTGTTCTGGTAGGTGCCATAAGGGGTTTTGTTGGTGGTGGTGGTTTTGCTTTATACAGTTTTTTTTCTATTGAGCTATAATTCATAAAGCATAAAATTCATTATTTTAAGTGTTTTAATATATTCACAAGACTGTGCAACATTCTCTATTTCCATAATTTTTTTACCAACCCAAAGAGAAACCCCACCCCTCAGCTGCTGCTCCTCATGCTCCTTTTCCTAGTCCCCGGCAACCAGTAATCCATTTTCTGTCTTTATCGGATTTCCCATTCTGGACCTTTCATATGAATACTGTCATACAATATGTGGCCTTTTTTGTGTGTCTGGCCTCTTTCACTTAGCATAATGTTTTTGAGCTTCAGCCACATTTTATTTTTTTTTATTTTTTTTTAATTTTATTTATTTGTGAGAGATCACAAGTAGGCAGAGAGGCAGGCAGTAGGCAGCCAGAGGCAGGCAGGCTCCCCGCCGAGCAGAGAGCCCGATGCGGGGCTTGATTCCAGGACCCTGAGATCATGACAGGAGCCAAAGGCAGAGGCTTTAACCCACTGAGCCACCCAGGCGCCCCTCAGCCACATTTTAGCATGTATCAGCATGCCATTCCTTTTCATGATAGAGTAATAGTCTATTGCGTGGGTAGACCACATTATTGCTGCCCTTCCATTAACTGAGAGACATTTGAGGAGTTTCCAATTTTTGGTTATTATGAATAATGCAGCTATGAATATGTGTGCACAATTTTTTGTGCAGACATGAATTCAGTTCTCTCAGGTGGACACCAGGAGTGGAATTGCTGGATCACAGCTGAACTTGCTCAGGAAATGCTATTTCCAAAGCAGCTGCACCATTTTTTACACCTGCCATCCATCCATGGAGGTGCCCTGTTAAAAATGTTTGCCTTAGGAACACCTGGGTGGCTCAGTCGGTTGAGCAACCGATTCTTGGCTTTGGCTCAGGTCACGATCTCATGGGTCCTAGGATCAAGCCCCGTGTAGAGCTCCACATTCAGTAGCCGTCTGCTTGGATATTCTCTCCCTCTCCTGCTTCCCCTGTTCTCTTTCTCCCAAATAAGTCAATCTTTTTAAAAAACGTTTGTATTTTTAGAAGTTTGCATAAATATTCATAAGAAATATTGGTCTGTAGCTTTGTGCTTGCATAATTTCTTTGTCTAATTTTGCTACCACGAAATGGAAATAGGGCAAGTTTGCCACAAGGCTAAGCATTTGCCCAGCGTGAAGTGTTATAAATATCTGTCAGAAGAAGTTACCCAAACACCGCATGCACCAAGATTCCAAGGGACGGAAAAGGGACTCCCCAGCACAGATTCTCAGAACAAGCTGGACAGAGCCAGAGAATTTACAGAACCATAGCAAGAAAGAACTGATGTAGGATGCTAGACTCAATTAGAAGTCTGCTTTGAATTCTAATGTTGTATAATCCCATGATTAGAAACAGGAATTGGAGTGGTGAGTTGCAATCAAAAGTAAGATTTCTGGACTCCAAAATGGTGCTGTAGTTGACAAAAGAACTGGTCACTTTGCATCAACCTGGGGGGGGGGGTTACACATTAAGTTAGGGTTGACATCAGGACATGCATCAGAAATATCCTGGGTGGGCAAAGGAAAACTCAGGACCATAGCTGCTGTCAGCACTAGACTTGGGAATCTGGCCATCTTGGGAAGTGAAATGTAGGTGCAGGAGCTGAATGAACCAAACCCAAACAGCCTGACCACAGCCACGCCACACAGCTTTACCGGGAAAACAAATGACAATAATCAGAACAGAGTTTTGGTCTTTGTTAAAGAAAGCTGGAATGATTTCTTTTTTTTTTTTTTTTAAGATTTTATTTATGTATTTGACAGAGAGAGATACAGTGAGAGAGGGAACACAGGCAGAGGGAGAAGGAGAGGGAGAAGCAGCCTTCCCGCCAAGCTCGGAGCCTGATGTGGAGCTCCATCCCAGGACCCTGGGATCAGGACCTGAGCCAAAGGCAGACGCTTAATGACTGACTGAGCCACCCAGCCGCCCCAAAGCTGGAATAATCTCTGATAGACAATTCATTTCTCTTTGCTGTGATTGAGATTGTCTCCAAGTGAAAAGGATAACAAATTTAGTACTGTGAGTCTTGAGGATTTGCAAGTACATTAATCTATAGGAGTAAAAATCCTTTAGAACCTTTAAAGACCTTCTTTCCTTTTTTCTCTTTTTCTTTTTTAAGAAGACGGGGAGGGGCAGAGTGAGTGGGAGGGAGAGAATAAGCAGGCTCCATGCTCAGTGTTGAGCCCATGTGGGGCTCGATCTCACGACCCTGAGATCATGACCCATAAAAACTCTTGACTACCACAGTTTTATTGCATCGTACGGAATGCTATTGCTTCATAAAGTTATATGTTGTTTCTATTTTTTCCAAATATATAAAGCCTTATTTCTCTAAGTCTTTACATTTCTTAACTGGAGAACAGGAATTAGTCACACAGTAAAATGCACAGCTTCGTGCAAGGAGGAAAGCATACATAATGAGAGACCAGGGGCTCGGGGAGCAGACACCCTACTCTGGACAGGGGCGAGGGAGGGAAGCCACAGTGCATGTAGAGAAAGAGCAGAGGAGTGGACGGAGAGCGAGGAGAACATGCTTTTTTTGAAAGCTGAGAAGAAAGAGCCCTCGAATGAAAGCTAAATGCCAGCAGAAGATCAAAAAGGATGAGAGCCCAAGAAGTAGATTTGGGACCATCCAACCTTCCCCCAGTTTTCTATGCCTCCACCTCAGAACCATCCTTTCCTCCACCTCTGCTCCCAACTCCCAAGCGTGGGCTGTCCTTTGTCCTCCTCTGGGTGATGGAACCAGTGAAAGAGTCCGTAAAATTAGGGGAACTAGGTAAATGGACATCAGATGTCCTTCAGGCCAATACAATATTTTTTAATTGCAGGGCAAAATTATACAACCTGTCTAAGCATGTACAAACTGTCTCTAGACAGTTAATGCTGCTCTATTTGATGAGGTGAGGCAAATAGAGCATCACATAACACAACCCGGGGGTAGAGCTAGATAGAGTCTGTCCACCTCAACTCCGGATCCAGGAGTCTGGAAACCTTTGAAGAGTCATTGTTTGAGTGCTCACCGAAGACTGCCTTGAGCACAGTACACGCCCACTCTGCGTCCCAGGCACAAATGGCCAAGAGACTGAGAGGCACACCACTTCCCAGCCTACCTCGGGAGCGCACCTTTATGGGAAACTGATTAGCACGGCTCCCAATCTGAAGATTCAGGATTTTTTCTATCAGATTCTACATTGAGGGGCTTTGCTGTAAATATAGTATGATGCATACATGGCTTGGGGATATTGAAAGCATTTTCCACCCAAACCTGGCTGGCCATGGGCTTATCCTTTCTCAGTGCTGCGGTGTAGCTCTCTGCACTAAGAATGTTCATCCTGGAGGAACAGCTGGCATTGCCCTCTAGACATTTTTATTGGCCTTACCTCATATACCATATCCTACACCAGTGCTTGTTACCTATCGATGTGTGGCAGGCTGGCTAACTGTGAGTTGCTTGAGGACAAGGACCTTATTGGCTTTGAATCTGGCAGTCTTATGCTATGGCACATTGGAGGAGCTCTTTAAATAATTACTGAATAGGGACGCCTGGGTGGCTCAGTCGGTTAAGCCGCTGCCTTCAGCTCAGGTCATGATCCCAGGATCCTGGGATCGAGTCCCATGTGGGGTTCCTTGCTCAGCAGGGATCCTGCTTCTCTCTCTGCCTCTGCCTGCTTGTGCTCACTCTCTCTCTCTGACAAATAAATAAATACATAAAATCTTAAAAAAAAAATAATTACTGAATAAATGTATGAATCAAAGAATGAACCAATGTGTCAGTACCTTGGTGCTAGGACAATGCTCTCTCTCTGCCTTCCACCTATGTCATGTATCTGAAAGTGAACCTTGAAAATCTTAGTGAAATGATCCCTTCACACTGAATTGCAGTGGCAAACATCTCAGTAGTAACCCAGAAAAAGAGAAATTTTCTACTAAATAACTAAAATCAAGCTTTTTCAATTACAAATGTAAATAACATTTTAAGGAGCAAATATTTAGCTGATGGGTACGCTTTTCAGAATCCAGACTTAGGGGGCACCTGGGTGGCTCAGTCGGTTAAGTGCCTGCCTTCGGCTCAGGTCCTGGGATTGAGCCCCCTCTGGGGCTGCCTACTCAGCAAGGAGACTGCTTCTCCCTCTCCCTCTGCCTCTCACCTCCTGCCCCCCACTCATGCTTTCTATGTCTCTCAAATAAATAAAATCTTTAAAAATTTTTTTAATTTAAAAAAATAGAGAAACCCAGACCTAGGTCATTCACAAGTGATTGTATATTTCCCTTCTCTTATTTCTTTCAATCGGTCCTCCTATTTTCTTTTTTAGTTTCTTGTTTCCTTAAGTTTTTCTTTTACACACTCCTATTTTATAGTTGCTTGTTCAATGAATAGAGGCTTTTTCTTTCTTTCTTTTTAGCTTTGTTTTTTCTTTTTAAAGCAATCACACAGTACACCTTACTCTGCGGCTTGGTTGCTTTTTTCCTCCCCTTAATCATAGATATCCCTTCAGGGCAATACATGTAGCTTAAATTCTTACACTTAAAGAATGCAGAGTACACCG